GAGTAAAATTAATCTGGAATATTTCAAGAGAATATCTAAAGTGGAATACCACTAGGAACGCTTTGCAACAGATGATGGAAAGCGTTCAATCTACTGATCGATAAAATCTGAAGTGGTGAAAAAAGTGAACTTTTCACTAGAGTCATCTAAAGACATATTTATCCAATGCCCCCACCCACCACATACACAAGAATACGTTTCCATACTAGAATAATTATTAAAAAGATTATAAATATAAAGAGTATTAATCCAGTAAATGTAAATTTTTTTCATTCTGAGGCATCATGTCTAAATTTCACAATCAGGATAAGGTTGTTTTTTTTTTTTATAAAAATCTTACATTTAGCTCTTTAAGCGTTTTATTTGTAGGCTTTGATTCAATTTCCATTTTATTAGGAAAATCATTTTCTGCTTTTCTGATTCTTGCTCTTCCTTAGTGAAAACCTTGTAAGATATCCATGCTTCAGTGTTAAAGTTACCTTCCATCAACAACTTTAGAATCTGTTAAGCCAGTTATATGACTTTTGTTTATCACACACAAAAACTAAAGAACTAATTGTTTAAAATAAACACCATACAGTGAAAAGCGTTCAAATACAACTTAACTAAATGCAGTTATAAATTAATAAATTTATTGAATCACAATAACTTAAGACTAGTACAGTGATATCAGTTTCAATTTTCTGATTCTTGGACAAACAAGTGATGACAAACAGCATCAATCTGCAATCACACAAAGAGACTGTACACAAAATACCAATTTTCAAGTATTATACCAAATCGGCTAAAAAAAATCATCAAAACGCGGCAGGATAAACAGCTATTTACAAGTTATCTTACATATAAAAAATTTACATGGCTATGAAATCTAAACATTCATTGAGTTTGTGAGTATTAAAATGGACCAGTCAAATGCTTTAAACATCATTCACACCTAACAGAGCAGGCTTTACACGGACTTGCAGAACTTTTTGTGCTTTCAACATTAGCAGCAGGTAAAACTAATGTATCAGACAAGGACAAAGAAAACTTGCCACAGAGCTGGTGGCATGCAAAACATTTGAAACTGGGGGACAAACATACGTTCACTTTTCATTTTTAGAATACAATGAATGTTGCATAGGATTGGTGGGTAAAATATTGAAAGCTGTGGATTTTATTTCTCTGGTTTTAAACCTCACTGAAGGCAGGCTTGGAGGTAAAATAAAAACCAAAACTGAAGTTGTTAAAGTTAGACATGCCAAACTCTTTTGAATAATTTTTCACAAGTACCTTTTATATTAATAATCTTTAACTATATTTTTGATAAACAAAGCAGCTTTAAAACTAGTTCCCATTTAATTAGCTCATTATATCTGAGTTTTGTTCACATCACCGGAACAAAACCCTTAAAAAAAAAAAACACAAGTAAGGAGAGGGAGATGAGGTATAAATCAACAAGTCTTCTTTTACTTGCCTCAATCAGTCACCAAAGGATCCTGATTTCAAGCACCAAAACTAAATGCTAATTGATTTTAATATATTTAACATCAGATCACACATGCAAGAAGAGCAACAAACCAAAAAATAGATCTCTAATCCAAAAGCACTGCTTCTCATTCACATCTATTCAACCCCACGGTGACTGTGATTGATATGAGAGGTTGACGGCGCTCCTCGATAACTGCAGCTGCTCGAGGAGAGCTCGACTCAGAGCCCTGTTAGGTTTACAGCCATTTAGACCAATAATCAGCTAATGCACGTAGTCTGGTATTTAAGTGTAAGGCATTGTTTGTTGGAACTCAGTCCAGCACCAAAAAGATTTGTGCTACAAAAGCCTGCATGGGCCAAATGTGCGAGGAGAGATCAGAGGACTTAAGGGACTCAAAGAGAAAAATGTGGTAGAAGTGAAGAGTTATAGAAAAAATCATGAGTGATCATCTCTGCCAAATAAATTCAACTGACAAATATCACCAAAGTGAAATTCAGTAATCATCCTGTACTTCTGTTTAGATGTTATGTAGATGAGAATATTTCAAACATTTTCTACTCAATTTTGATAAGAAGCCACACTGAAACCCAAATTTCTCAACTTCCTAGTAACCTTTGTATCGATTATGGTGAGTTTTATTCTTTAACTGCAACATCTGTGCTAGTATAGAAAAATCCTTTGAAATCCTCTAACGTTTATATATTGATACTTTAATGTCTGTATGCTGTGAAAGCTTAAAAGTCATATTTCTTCTTTGTCGAATTAATTTCTGATCAAATATATTTAAAAAATAACTAATCAGTTCACCAATCATTATTTAGTCAATAGGTAAAGCTGTACGAACATTTCTCTGTGATCCTTCATCTTTAGCCCAAACAAAAAAACACGAATGGCTCAAGCTTGAAGTTGTCGGAAAAACAAAATATAACATCACCTAATCTAGTTATGTCTGTAAATTGTAAAAAAAAACCTAAAAAACTAAAATAAAGTGTTAGATTCAAAATAAATGCTGAATTTATATTTTAAAACTGCATGAATGCAATTCCATTCTTCCATAAAGCAACACTACAAAATTCATAAATTATAATGAAGTAATTTCTTTTGCCGATTTCTTATCTAGTGATTTAGATAATTTGTTTGTTGTTAACTTCATTACTGTTTAACATCTATTTTTTTTTTATCTTTAACACAGCAACTAGAACAAAATAAATAGTACATTGCAGTGATCCTTAATTTTTGTACCTTTTATGGATAATACAGCTGGATACATTTATTTTTACATTCAAATTTTCTTTTCAAAACTTAAAAGTAAAAAAACCTAATGAATCTTAAATTAGCAGGTTGAGTACTTTGCCAGGTGATAGTTTCAGAATGTGGTCTCAGTGGGCAGTACTTATAGCTCTAAAGAGCAGTCAAAGTAATTAATGCAAAGAGTGAATTGAAAAACACAAATGTCATACCATTGATTACATGGTTTTTTTTTTTTAGATAAATTTTTTTTTTATCTGCATGTGCAGGATTAAAACGATCTAAACTTTGGATACTGACAGGAGAATGTTGTCTGTGATATTTTTTATTTCTAAACTTTTAGTGACACAATAAATACATTTTAAAATTAAATTAGGTTCCTGCTGAACTGATGTTCACTTTGGCTGTTTTCTTTTCCAACATCATGTACTGAGGCTACTTGAGCTGCAGAGGTTGCACTGACCTGTGGTTCAGAAACAAGAAAACTTGATTTGAAGCGCCGTCTGCAGGCAGGTTAGGTGCATTGCAGCATGGTGGAGATTGTGGAGCACTGGCTGGTGTTAAAGTGAACAGTTGAACGATGATGATGATGATAAAGATAATAGCAATGCCTCACCAACAGGGACAGGCTGTGTGCTTCTACTTTCTGCTGAAGCAGATTTTGGACTCCTGACGAAGGAACCAAGGGCCACAGCGGTGAAGAAAAAGAAATCATGGCAGTGCTGGAGAAACTTCTCTTTTTTACCAAAAGGCAGTTAACTCTCTCAAACTCTTGGGTTACCTGCACCCAAACGAATGAGGCTGCATTTCGTGCCATGACCTTAACTTGGAGAGTTCTCACAACGAGAACAGATTCTAAACGTTCAAACTGTTGTGTTTTGCGGATGTCATAAAGTCGACTCCAGTGATGAGTCGAGGATGTCGTCCTGGTGACTGTTGCTGTTGGAGTCACTGTCGTAGCTCTGCGGGCTCGACGATGTGGCCGCTTCCTTCAGGCGCATCAACATATTCATCTGCCATTAGAAATAAAAGTCAGCTGGAAGAGTTTTAACAATTATTTGCTTTAAGCTGTAAGTCAACAGCTAGTGAGCCTTCCAAAAGCATCCAGACCCAGTTAAATATATTTCACTTTGTCAGATAAAAACAACCAATTTTAATGGATTTTTAGGCAAAAAAAATTAACTAAATCTAGAAGACATTAAGTTCATTAGTACTTAGCCCTTCGAAAATTAATACAACCTCCAGCGGTTCTAGCAAGTTGCCAGAACAGATCCAGCATTCTTTATGAAATTGATAGTTTCTTTAGGTAATTTGCTCTGATCTTTAAATGTTTGCACTTTTACGAACATTGTGGATTTTTGCTCACCAGTGGATCTGCGTCACTGTCACTCTGTGGCGGTTCTTTCCTAACACCTTCTCTTGGTGCGGAGTAGCCATCAAAGCCCACGTCCTCGGGACGGAGCTGCAGCAGCGGGGGCCAGTCACCCGGAGGTGGAGTTGATGACCAAGGATATGTGTCGATCACCCAAGCCGCTGGGTCCTCCCATGCAGCCCTGCGTCCATAAAGCTACACAGAGTGGCATATAGTTATAAGGAGAGTCTGGGACACACTTTCTAGATGTTGCTCATTAGTTCAGACTACAGAAATGTTCATCATAAATGATCATTTATCCCTTCCTGACATATGCATTATCTCTTGTACTCATTAGTTTGTACGTATATGTTAAAAAATTACTAGGAAAAAGTGTTTGTTCAGCTCAAATTTGTTATCTTGTAAACTTGTTATTTATCTCTATTTTATTTGGTTTGGAATACAAGAATTTGCACATAAGTGTTTTCTGATTACATAATTTTAGACACTAAATTCAAAGTTTTAAGCCTACAGTTACTCGGTAATTGTGTTGCCATTTCATGAAGTACTTTTTGTACTCTTATTTGAGTGAAATCTTTGTGTACTCTGCCCATCTCTGGATAGATCTACTAGTTATAGTCATTTCAAGGAAGTTGTCTTGGAAGAGAAAACCAGTAAACAGGTAGAAGAAAAAAACAAAAACTAAATATGAGACTTTTTCAGCACTGACAAACGATCTTCCAATTATCATTTTTTTCTCAAAGAAAAGTTTAAGAATATGCTGCAATAAAACAGTTGTATATATTTTAACTAGGAGGTTTTCTGGACTTAAACGGATATATTTCTTTTTTTTAGCCACTTTTTAGTTTTTTATTTACCAACTTATAGTCTATATAGTGTTTTACAGAACCAATTTATAAATGTAAATATGTATGCAATGAACATCACTGACATCATTTAAGATAGTATCTATAAAAATTTAAGTAAACTTCTCAACACTGTTGTATTTCTATTACCTGCAGTCCTTCACGTACTGCCTCCAGCATGTAGGGGATGATGGAATAATTCCAGAGATCGGTAAACCAAACCCTGGATCCCTCCACATCCATGGGGCATGACAAAAAGAGGCGAGGTCCTGAGAGAAGTAAAACTTTCAATTATAAATGTAATCAAATTTTTTTTAAACCAAATTCTCGTAATTGTAATATCTTATCACCGATTGTGACGTCAGAGGAGCTGTGGGTCTCCAGGAAGCGATTCAGGTGGTGCCAAACCCGTGGGACCCAGTCCATGATCTTTACCAGCTCTGCATTACGGGTTCGGCTGCCGATCTCAACCTCTATCAGTTTCCTCCTCAGGTATCGACCTAGAAATCCTTTCACTGGTTCAGTGTGGTTGGCACACAGTATCCACCTTTAAGAAGAACATAGGGGTGCAACAGTGTTTATTATAGATTGGCAAGATCAGTGGCAGGAGGACGTTAGAGGCGTTCAAATTTACCTGAAATTGTGGTGAAGCTGCAGGTTGGGAGCGGATGAGGTGGCTTGGCTCATGGTGCCAATAATGTAAGGACTGAAAACAGCAAAAGATAAACCAAAGTAATATTTTTATTATTAAATAGATTCATTTTGTGTTGCAGTTCAGCATTCTGCAGATAAATGTGTGTGAACTGACCAGTGCTGGTAGTTGCAGTTGAAGAGGCCGTTAAAGATCTCTCCCAAAGAGCTGACATGGTGGAGGTTGTCCAGAATGACCACCAGGGGGCTCTCTTCCCCAGAGACACTGCTGCATTGCTGTGCCAATCCTGACAGGTACTGACGAAGCTCCTTAAAAAGTAAAGAGTCTTTGTTTTTCTCTGCCTCGTGTTTTGGTAATGGGGATATATTCTGCAGTCTCAGCTATCTAAAAACATTAAGGACTGTAATCTTCTATTGAAGCTTTTAATTAAATTCATTACTATAAAGCAGAATGAGAAATCCCCCCCAGGTTAACAAATAAAAGCCAATAAATAAAAAAACAGTATTTGCATTCACCTTGCTGGACTTGTGGTCCACATTGAAAGTGACGACAGCGCCCGGGGTCAAAGGTCGGCCCTCTAGCAGCAGAAGATACCGAGCGAGCTGGCTTGCCAGGTACGTTTTCCCCGTGCCGCTGGGCCCTGACAGGATGACCCGTCTGTGCTCCCTCAGCAGGGACACGTAGCGCTGCAGCATCGGCTTTGGGATCAACGTCTCAAACACGAATGAATCCACATTTTCACTGCTTGCACCTACAGGCAAACACAACATAAGCACTGGTTGGCATGTGTAGATATACATTTTTTTTAACCAGTAATTTAAATTTAAATATATTTAATACTCTGCATGAGTATTACGGATAATTTTCCTGTTTCTCAAAGCCGATCATCAGCAGTGCGAATACCTTTGAGCTGAATGTTGATGGTGTTGTCTCCCACTAGATAGCCACAGGGCAGCAGCTCGGGCGTGGTGGCTGAGCTGGAACTACTGGGCCGATGGATTTCGCCGATGTTGTATCCCTGCACGCTCTCTGTGCTTAGACCAAGCTGGTGCACTGGGTCTACATGCGTAATGTACTCCTGCAGAATATTTTAGCAGCAGTTATAAGGTTTTAAATGTACAATTATGAATGAAGCACACAATTCTCTGTAACTTTGATCACACGTTTTTAAAGTAAATGATGGGAATCAGTGTTTAAATATGTTTAGAATTACCTTAAAGAGGCGCCGGACCACCCCATCCAAGACGTCCCACTTCGTTTTGCCGCTCACACCAATGCAACCAATCAGAAAGTGGCGAGATTGACTCTCCTTCAAAACACAAGACATTCAGACACTGGGTAAAAAAAACACATCCTCTTCAAGCTATTTCCCGGCATAAAGCGGGTCTCACCTCCCCCCACTTGATTTCTTCATCCAGGCTGACGACAATCTTTACATGTCGACCCTCTTTCCTCATCCCACCATCTCCGCCTGTGTCATCCAGCAGCATATCTGAGAAGAAAATAAGGTCAGCCGGTTCTATTTACATACTTTATTTCTTTATTTTCAGTCACTTGACTGCAAAAAATTGAAATCTAAATAAGGATTTTTTTCTCGTTAAAAAATAATTGAATTTAGGAGGTGAGTGAGACACTTTGATAAAGGAACAATTTACTTAAAATAATTAAGTATAATATAAAATAATTTTTTTTCAAGTATATATTATCAAATTTTCTTATTTTAAGAGTAAAAATAGTAATTCCATTGGCAAATCATCGTATTTACTTAATCAAATCAAGGGTAAATAAAGTTAATTTAAGGAATCTGCAGTGTGTGTCTTACCCAGGCTGGTAGACTCGCTGGTGGTAAGGTTAAGGCTGTGCTGTGATAGTCCTGGACCGGGTCCTGGGGTCTGACTTTGTGTGTGAGGGGGAGGGGAGGATGAGATGGACACCTGGGATCCTGTTCTGCTCCCCTGACTCTCTAGCTTCAGACGATCGTTTTCCGCCTTCAGCTTTTCAATCTCCAACTGCCGACAACAAACAAATCAGTAAGCGGTGAAGCCAGTGAGAAAACTAGAGAGATAAAATTATGATAATTTGTCTATCTCTGCTCTGAGAACTAGTGTCTTCTGTTGGCTTGAACGTGCAGACCTGCATACGGTTCATGGCCTCCCGAAGCTGGTCCAGCTGATGTGCAGAACTAAGAGCCTCCAGGCGGATATCTGTCAGCTTCATCTCCTTTTCCCTGAGTTCACTCCGCAGCTGCATCACCGTCTCTGCCTCGCTGTCCAAACACTCTGACAATCTGGAGAATTAAAAGCAAGGACGATCATTCAGAGGCTGGACCTTAATAGGGGCTGCATACTGTATGCACATCAATTAGGCACAAAACGCACAGTGTGTTGGAGTGGGTGTTCCTGAGGATGTGGCTGGGGCCTGAAGTCCCGTTGTGAGGCAGTTTGGGGGAGGATGGCAAGGATGAGTCCATCATCTCCTCAATATCAGAATGAGACGAGGCGGATTTGGGAGATTTCTTCTTGGTGAATGCTTGTTTAAAGGAGCTTCGCAGCTGCAAAGACACAAACATAGAAGGTAAGAAGGGAAGGTTGACAAGTCTGCACAGAGGGGAAGGAGGATGTGCCGGAAAAGGTAGTGGAAAACGGCTGGACAAAATTAAACAGAGGGCCTCAGGAAAAAAGGATATATAGGTAGATTGTCTTATGACTGACTGAGCAGCATGTGCTTTGCAATAAAGGCAATTTTGGTACAAGAGCTGCTTATAAAGCAGTTTGAGTAATCATGAAGCATCTTTAGCAACGGTTTTCTGTTGGCAGGAGAAAAGGAATACAAGTCCATTTTAAAGCAGCACACAATGCCACTTATGTTCAGTGGAAATCCTAGTAATGATGTGTAAAAAAAACCTTTTAAATAAACATACTGGCTAAAGTGCTGGTAACCTTGAAAATCACTATTGTTACTTATTCTTAGCTTCATTCTCTGGGAATTTTTAAGTAGTCTTTCATGACTTTTCTAGGTTGTGGAATAAAGTTGACCTATTTAAAGGTTCTGGTTGAAGAACTGTAGCAAAGTGTGGGATTTCGGGATTATCATTTCTCCATACGACGAATTAGACAAATCTCTTATTTCTTCTCATTGCAAAAACATAATAATAATAAAATAAAGGGTGGAATTTGTAAAAAAAAAAATTATAAAAACTGCTTGAAATGTAATAAAACTTTGGTTAGTTGCTATTAATTTTAATATAAGCCTAATCTGATTAAATACTCTATAAACATCTGATTTGAAAGTGATTGATACATTAAAAAGTACAGCAAAGGAACCATGTTGCTCTGAGTCCATTTTCTCTCGCATGGACATATTAACTTTTTGAAAAACAATGAAATTATAAAGGAAAATTAGGATCTTTTTTTCAATGGATTTTTTGCAAGTTAATGACCACATGCAGTTTTCATACCTTGGCTCTAAAAAGATCTGAAGGTAAAGCGGAAAAAAAGATTCTATAAACAGGAAGGTTTACAGATTTCTCTCTTTGCATTCTTAAACTTTGAACATGTCAAGTGAGAAGATTAAGTGTTGGAAATTAGGCGATTTTAGAATCCATTCTCTAGAGAGGTGTCAAACGTTTGGGCTTTATGTGATGTTTGCCTCTTTTTCTTCATTTTTCAGTGTAAGAACATAGTTCTGCAACATAGTTCTTTTTTTTAAGGCTTATTGCACATCTTTACCAGAAGAACCAATAAAGGAGTGTACAACTTATTCAAGGCAAATATGTGTACTTGTGCCATGGATACAGCCACTGTTGTCTAAAAGGAGCTGCTTTAAGTGTCATAAGAACTGTTTCAAAGGGAGCAGTGTTGGAGAGGAAGGACAGATCGATCGGAGCTAAAAGACAGCGAGGGAAAAAAAAAAAGGATTGTGGTTAGTAACCTAAAGGAGGTGCAGGGGTTAGACTCTGGTTTCTTTCACAGCATACCACCCTTACCTCATAGACCTGCCACATGAAGCGAGGCAGAGGAAGACAGGGAGACAAAACAGCACATGTTCAAATAGTTTTCTATGTTAATGTTTTATGGGGGGGGGACAAAATTCATCCAGAGGAACTACAAAGCCTCTAATGATCATGAAACATGAAGCCTTTCAGTAGAGGCTCCCCTCTAAATGGAGCCCCTATGTACTCCATATTGCACACCTATAAGTAACACCTGCAGCCAGGTGTGGGGTCTTCGCCACAAAAACACAGACACCCACATACAGGGGCGGAAAGGGATGTTAGGTTTTATCACTATGACCTAAAGGAGGAATTACTGACAAAAGGATGATAAATGAGCAAACACAAGGTGATAACAGGTTTCTATAAAAAAAAAAACAAGTTGCATACATCATCATCCTGGACTTTTCCACCGGTGCACAGCAGCGGCTTTGGTTTTAGAAAAACAAAGCTTAGATTTAGGCATTAAGTGAATAAGAAACTGTTTTTCAAATCTTTGCTTATAAAAGAAGAGCTATGATGACTGGAAACCATCTATTAAGCATTGATTTGGTGATTTACTTTATTTACAAAGAAATTGAAATCCCGTTTTTGGACTGTAAAAACACCAAATCAAACCTTTTACTTCACAGCACTGTGTGGAGCAAAGTCTGGTGTATTCACCTTATCCCCAGAAAAAGAAGGCTGAAGAAGGAAAAACCCGGAAACATGCGTGAAGTTGGAGAAACAAATATAAAGGTAAATCAGTCAGTCAGCTCAGTCAGGTAAAACATCCTGACTGATCTTGTTAATAAGTCAGCAGAGAGTGACTTCACCTGGCTTTACATTTCAAATATTTACAGGTACATCTCAGAAAATGACTGAAAAAGGTGATTTGTTTGGCTTTTCGCTCAAATAGACTCATTACATAGAATTGGTTGGTTTCTGTGAATTTTTGTTGGATTTTCATAATTTTTATATATTCTCATCAAAGTCAACAGAAATAATTCCTGAAACAAATAATTAATGAATACATATACCAGTTTCATTTTTGGAAATGACTAAAATGAAGAAATATTTCAATAATCTGTTCTATTGAGCTCCATCTATGATTTCTCAGACTCTTACCCAGTTTTTTTTGTTCTTCTTCTTGTTCTTTGCATCTGCATCCATGTTGGAGCCCACACTGGAGTGGCTGGTGGCGCTGGCGACGCTGCTGACGCTGTCAGAGGAGTGCTGCCGTCTTATGCGCAGATCCGGCTGCTGCTGCTGCTGCTGAGTGCCGTTATTGGCAGCTGAGAACACGTTCGTGACATGTCATTTAAACAGGCTCTGTTAGCTCAGTTTGTCTCTGTTTCTAAAATATCGGGTCAGTGGATGACGGGGTTATGTCTGCAGTACTACAGTAAAACACATTTTGGGACAAACCCTAATTAAAATACCCCAATCTAGACATTGAGTGTGGAGTTTCTTACCTGTCCGTTCTCCTTTAGGTACAAGTTCAGGTGTGTTGATGACTCCATTAATTGCAGCCTGAGCGACAGCATTCTGCTTCTTAAGAAGCTCAATAGTTTTCCTCAGCTCATTCAGCTCAGAGTCCTTTACAGATAACATGTTGGAAAGACATTCAATTAGACAAGTAGAGGCATTATCTGAATGTGTGGTATTAGAACAACAGGAGCTGTTTTTACCTTCTGTTCTGCAGTCAGAGTTAGACTCTTCAGTCTGATGGTCATGTTGCCCAGACTCTGTTCAAACGCTGCCACCAGGTGAGCCTGTGGGGGGAAAAAAAATGTTTTTTCTCACAAAAGTCAGAAAGCTAATGATTAAGATCACCCTTTTGTTTGTAGAAGGACCCTGGGTTATATATTGACAATTGCCCCTGATAATATACCAACTAGGAATCAAAAACAGTCTCAATCTGCAGCTTGAAAAGCCAAAAATCCACTGAACGGTTGAGTGAGAGGAGAAATATCGACTCTGTTGTGATAACTGTTGGAGCCTTAAGGCTTAAACCCAAGCATGAGGTCACCATAGTGAAACAAAACCCAAATAATCTCATAAAAATAACATCTTTAGATAAATTACTAGCTGCTGGTTATTACATTACAGAACAGTGAGTCTAAACTATTGAGCCTGGAACTGAGATTTATTTAAAGCCACTGTCTTTGTGTCAGAACAAAAGGCTCTAGAGGATTTTGTATGTAATAATGTTAACCCTGCATGACACCAAATGATTGAGGATTAATTTAGAGAAAGAGTTTGTTGGTTTAACCATGCAGAGTGAAGAACCACCAGCTCTAAAACATATCCTACCACGATATCTTTCATTTTCTGCCTCAGAGGCATAAGGTGTGCTCAGATAATCCCTCATCAGTTTGTGACACACCATTAATTATTCTAACAAAGTCTTCTGACCTGAATCCCCCCCCCCCGTGCTCCGCCTTGTATGCAGGCGTCACTGGCTCTACAATCTGATCTTTAAATCAGGTAGCAGTGTGCCGGCACTTGAGTACATGCTGTTATCCAACACCTTTTGCTTTCCTCTATATCTTTTAAAATCAGCAGAGCGTGGCAGGACTTGTGCAACACAGACAGGGGGGAGGCAGAAATGTTCGTGTCTAGAGATACTTTAGGAGATTCTCTGATGGTTCTGCCAGTAGTAAAATTATACCCTTTGAGAGTAAAGATCACTTTGGCATCTTTGTAATAGGGATTAGTAAATATTTGTGTTTTGAATACCTTTCAATGTGTGACTGACAAACGTTCTGGTACTTTTAACAATTTTAAAGATAAGAAAATTATACCTTATTGAAAAAAGTAATCACAAAATAGTGGATCTGTAGAATAAAGATCAGAATAAGTCACTAAAGGAGAATTCAAGCTCTACCAGGAAGGTCTTAAAGAGAACATTAGTGGGCAGACAGATCAGGGAGAGAAATATAGCAGAAATAGATACGTTCAGGTTTAAATTTCTCAGAGAGCTAAGCTCAATCCGTCCTCTGAAGATGGAAAGAGTGCAGAACAAGTGCAAAGGCAAACAAAGGGAACATTAATAAGAGAGCAGCCAAAAGGCTCATAGTAATTGGAAGAGTAGCAAAAGTCTAGAGTTCATGTCGCCCTCCTCAACTTAGGCCTTCTTAGAAAGATTGGAAAGCTTAATAAGAAGCTTCTTGTGGAGGAGCTTTCGATGGAATAGAGATACATTCAGAAGGAAGGTGCTCTGGTAAGAGAATAAAACCACTTTTGTTGCCTACATGCTCAAAGGATATGTGGTGAAAACAAACAGTGAAGTAAAAACTCTAGGAGTGCTCTAGGAAAACTACTTTAAAGATTTTAGATGCCTTAACACACCTTGCTTTAACTGTAGATATACAGACACTGCTACAATAAAAAAGTCCAAATCTATATCTGAAAAATAAAGATCCTCTAAGATCTCTATCCAGTCTGACTGGTCTTATTTTATAAAGCTGAATGAGTAAACCAGTCAGTCTGACATACAATTGTGTCAATAAAAGTACATAATATACTCAGATTTTCACAACAAAGAAATTGTTGAAAAACAATCAGAGGTTTGTGACTGAAAAATGTTAAAACACGAGGAACTGTAGGTGGATCAAACTCTTTGAAACAGTTAAATTGCATTTCTGATTTCAGTTCTGAAAATAAATCTAGATATTGCTATTTGAAAAAAAATATGTATTCATATAAACTTAATAAATTCAAAACCTACCAAAATAGTTAATCAAAAAGCGGTCACTTTTGTTATTGTTGTTCATACCAATGGGAAATCTTTGCACACCAAGTTCAGGACAGTAAATAGCCAGTGATATAATCTGTTATATAGGTTTCCCAAAGCGTGTGTTGACGTTCTTGTTTGCTTACATTTGCACTCAGCTGTGTTGTGAGGGCGGAAACCTTTTCCTGGGAGGCATCCAGCTCCCGCCGTAGCTTCCGGATCTGCAGGATCAAAACAAAAGCATAAAAAATAGGCTCCATAAGAGACAACATTACAAACAGAGTTTGTAAGTGCAATTCACCCTTGGTTAGAAGATAAAATACTAAAGAAACATAAAGCAGCACATACAGGTGTGCACAGGTGTTCAGGAAATAAGACTGGGGCTTGTTAGAGGGTCAGACACATTATGGCTACATGTGTAACTGGATACAAATGCAATAACATGTCCATGTTCCAACAAGTCCAACCAGTGCACATAAAGAAATTAAAGAGGATGAAAGTCCTGAGTGTGCTGATGCTTACCTCTGACTGAGACTTCTCCTCGTTCTGTAAAACAAACGCAAGAAAAGGAAACCATTAGACTTTTCAACCTGCTGCCATCAGACTGGCCTCTACTGTTTGATTTATTAGCTCCTTGGAGACGAGCTTTATAAACTGCACAGGATATAGTCTGGTGTAATATTTCTGGGAAGCAGAGATATCCTCCTGAAGGCATTTCTCTGTGTGTTTGGCTCATTGTCCTCAGAAGCATAATATGGAACAATGGCCCAAAAAAAAAACACAAAAAACAGGTGATAAGTAGAAATATGGAGCGAGAGCATGCAAAACAAATGCTGGCTCGCACGAACACAACACACCCTGATGCTGGTCACCATAACAGTGAAACACCCATATTTACAAGTAAACAAAACTGTACTGTAGCTGCCCATGAACTCAGCCTTATCATATTTATAGATTATTATTATTATTATTACTGCTTTGTTATGGGGTTAATTTTAAGGCGTGATTAAAGCATTTTTCTTTTTTTTATCTTTCTAAACAGCGAGCTTACAGAGGCAATTGTGCAATAAAAGATATAAGAAATCATTCTTCACCCCCAAATCCTGTAAACAGCTTCCTAACTGTGTCTGAGCAGCATGCTTTAGCGGATCTGCGCTGTGGTATGTGGTTTACAAAGAGGCATCTGTCCACACAGGGCTCCTCAATCTCACACACAGACACAAGTAAAACACAGAGAATTCTCACTCTAATGCAAAAGAAGATCTGTTTTTAGATTTAAGAAGCAGCTCAAAACACATAGATCCTGGTTCTATGAAACCCCATGACACTAGGCAAATTCAGCTCTTTTTAAAAGCTGATTCTGAGCAATGTTCTATTTAATCTGATATCTGTAACTTCCACACTCTCCTACCGTTTGCTGCCAAGGTGAGACGGTTCCCGTCAGGGATAAAGTCGCCATCATCTTTTCTCCAATCTCTTGCCTGCTATGATTTCCAGAGTCTCTCGGGGCTCAGAGGTTTAAAACATGTCTGAGAATTTCTCTGCTACACCTGCTCAGGTGAGTTAACAAGCCCAGAAGGAGGAGGAGCTTCCCTGGGATGCACTTAGATCCCAGCGTGTTCATGTGGGCTGAGCCCTGTATGTCCGTGTGACTACAGCAATACTTTTATCCTTACAGGATGTATGAGTCACATAACTCTGGGGGCTGAGTGATAAAATTTCATATTTAAGTAAACTAAAGTTGATTCCACAAGAATAGCTGCTCAGATTATTGAGTGTTTTTTTTTTTTTTTAGCTTTTAACACATTAGAGACAATTTTATCCTAATTAATTTGATCCAGAAAAAGAAGCAAAAGGGAACAAATATTTCTGTGAGGGTAGTTAAACTCACCGTAGAGTACATAGAGGAGGTGCTGGATACCAAAGACAGAGAGGATCCATGAACTGAAGAGGGAAAGAAAAACAAAAGAAAAGCTGGGATTAGGAAATGGCTCTGATTGTATATCAATGTGATTTATTGCTGGTCGAGGCTTTAGCAACTCAAGCTGCTGATTAGCTCCTAGGAAGACACCATGAGCAAATAACTTCAGCCTCTCAATATAATCTCTAAATGTGTAACTAAAATGATTTAGAATTAATCAAAGTATTTAGACATTGCTGCACAGGTTTCTGAAAATCTAAATCTACATTCTAGATGCATTTATTCATTTTATGCACACTATAACTAGGAGAACATTTTAACTCATAGGTTTCTTGGAAGAGAAATAAATTGAAATAAAGCTCCACAGCAGGAACGACCTTCAGACTGATTCAATAGTTCATTTTACAACAGACCAAAAGTAAAGTCTGGACACTGGTGGGTGTGGTCTGGCGTGGAGGTTGGTCCCAGAATCAAATTTAGCTCAAAGCTTAATGTAGTGACTGCGGCTCAGTGGCTATAAAGATAAAACTCCTTCACATTACAGTCAAACTGTGGTGCAACTAATGACAACCTGAACACTACCGCAGTGACTCAGTGACTAATCGCATGTGAGACGCTGGAAACAGGGCCGGTACTGTTCCCCGTCTGGGAGCAGATTAGAAGGGATCAGTGATATGATGTCAGAAACCACAACGAGAGGTCGGCCTGATCTGCAAAGAATAATTTGTTCTGTTAAAAGAGGCAGATAGATGTTTGTAGACTACTGGATCTTATCTTTGTTTGGTCTAGACAGAAAAGTGTCTCGTCAGCAACATAAAAGGAGAACATTTAGTTTTCACTGCGAGACAAAACAATAAGGTTATCCTGTTTTAATGACCTTTTGGACTAAATTAGTTTCTGACTGTCTTTTAAAAATATGAAATAAAAACGTCTTTAGAGCTTCCTGGTTGAATTTCAAATACAAAAAAACAAAAAACAAATACTTGCTGCAAATTTGCAGCTGACAGTTGTATAACAGTCAGGATTAAAACAGGGACCCTGCAAAAATCGGAGGAGGGAAAAAGGAGGGACAGATGGATAAAAGGCTAAAACTGATGCAACTTTTAATGAACAAGATGACTGCCTCATTAGTTTAGGAAGATGGCGTCTAAAGCTTGTTTTTGTCTCATTGGGTTGACCTCTCTGTGCGTCAGAGAAACGTCACTAGCTTGTATGTACAGGCTCTTTAAATTGATTTGATGATTTTATTCAAAACTCAAGTTGGGGGGTGGGGGTGGGGGAGCAGGCTTGGAGGTGGGATGGAATACCCTTTATTAAAAAAAATCTTAAAAATCATCTCCCTTCTTAACCCCCCCCCACCCCCCCCATACAATCCCCTGTGATATTTTATTACTGAATGTTTAAAATTTCAACTACATATTAACAGTTAATGGCAATAATATTGCCCTTTCAACATTTGGCAGGCTGTGGGATTACGAGTAGCCTGAGCAAAATAAATAACATCAAAGAAGTGTCCTACCATGACTATGAAGCTAAACCCAGTGGGACATTTGTCCCTAACTATGTAGGGGCAGAGATAGCCATGCCAGTCCAGGGACTGACTGCAGTTCTACTGTAAGGTGCCTTGGTCAAGGTCAATGACCGGCGTACCTGACATGTAACAAACATACCATGCATATTGCTTTAGGTTAATAGACTATATTAATAGGGCTATGCATGCTTCAAAAAAAATGTAAAATAAAATTCCACCCCTTCTTTTTTTTACGTATAGTTTACGGATTTTATTTAGTCTCAACATGAGGGACACCTTACTCTTGCTTTGGCTTTGTTGGTACATTCTTCAGTTCTTGAGTTGTAAAGTTTAAAACAACATATATGCACAGTTTTTTCCCCTCAGTATTTTTAAGATTTTTCAAAAGTTCCAACCTAAAGATGAGTAAAAACAAATCCCTAAGCTGTTATATTTTTAAACCATTGTTGAAAACTTGCAACTAAAACAGGAGCTTTTAAAACAGCTCTTAGGTAGCTGGAAAACTGCCGTCATGTTTCATCATCTCCTGTTATTTCATCCAAATACATTTTAATCCATCCATTCATTCATAATGGAACCTATCCCAACAGCCAGTGGGTGAGAGGTGAGGCCCAGCTGAGGCACATCTGATTATTTAAAGAGCGCAGTCCTTCAGGAGGCGGTTGTTTAAATTGGAAGGAAATGGCTCAGTTAGTTCGGGGACCAGCAGAGGAAGACTTGGAGACAACTCTCTAGAGAGGTGCTTTCTATGCATCCCACTGGGAGCAAGCCTCAGGGTAGACCCAAGACTCACTGGAAAGATTATATCTTTTCCATGTTTCGGGAATGCCCCGAGTCTGCAACAAGAGGCGGAGGAAGTGGAGAAGAATAGGAGGGATCCTGAGAAAACTGTCTTTATGTCCATGTCTGGGTTGAAATTGACAGAATCTTGGTAAAATTATATATTTTTTTGTCTTTTCCTTTACAGCTAGTTATCATATATATTGTATTTTATTTCAAGAACTGTACTTAGACTGTCATGTAGAAAATGGTTTATAATCTTATCAATTCTCCTTCAACATGATCAGATTGTGCAGATAAAAAGACTTGCAGATGAATATAAGCAGGGTGGATTTACTGTGGTGTAAATGAGATGACAGAGTACAGAGTTGTTGCTTTCCTTAAGCATGGTCTGACAAAGTGTTGGATGGATGAGGTGACTTTTGTGCTGTCAGTCACATTCTGGTTGAAAGGTAACTTTACACTTGAGAAGCAAGGCCATGCAGATATAGCAGAAACGACAGTGCAATGCAGACAAAGACGGAGAGAAAGTAGGAGGGAGAAAGTTTTGTTTGGTGGTTTTTCCTAAATGTCACCACGTCTCACTCACACCTCTCACAGCGATCCCTGTAATTATCCCTGCTGCTGAAAGGGGAGAAGAATAAGTGGTGCAGGGGCTGGCTGGGGGCTGAGGCAGATATGTTACGCATGCATTAGGTGTAATAACATGGCTTCATCTGGGTTTTTCACCTGGTGTTTGCCTTAGATGTTCAGCTTTGAAGACAAACTTTACAATAGCTAACAGACAGCTGCTCAGCTCTAATACAAAATAAAATAAACTGTTGGATACATGATAATAGAAACATAATCATCTAGCTGCCATTTATGTTTACTTTAAAAAATAAACCTGAAAACAAGCTTTTTAAGAAAGACAGACAAATAAGACTAATGTTCATATTTAATTCAGTTATATGAACCTGTCCTTTTAGCATAAATGTCTTAAATCTTGTAATATGGGAACCAAATACAAGTAAAACAAAACAGCATGACGATGGCATATGCTGTATGCAATGTATCTATTCCAAACATCACAACATTAAGGGTTTCTAAGGGAATTAATATTGTTTTTCTGTTTTGTTTTTTCCAATAGGAACTATTGCAATTAGGGCTAGTGCTCTTTATGGAAATGAACAGATATTTGTTCTGGCATCAGGACTTAATAATTGGAAATGAAAGCTTAATGGAGGCTGGAGAACTAGTTTAATCATGATTACACCTGATTGAATCCTTAATGTGAAACAGAAACATTACCAGACGTCTTACCTTCTTCAAAGCCATCCCTGAATGATCCCGATCGGCTCATTGTGCGGGTTTTCTCATCCAGCGACATGCAGGAGTTTCTCAGCCGATTGTCGCTGCAGGGATCAAAAGGAGTATCCTGATTTGTCAGGCTGTTGTTGCGCAGACTGGCGAGGTTGATCTGACCTGCAGAGGTTGGACTGGTTGCTGTAAAAAGGCATAAAAAAACACAAAGCTTGGATCAATAGTCTATTTTGACAACAAATTTCAGAGGATTTCTGTAATCATTTGAATGTTTAAAAAATTTGAAAGAAAAGCTGACTTTTTACAAATAAATATCTGAGGGTTTGGCATTTCTTGTCTCATAAACAGTCTCTAGCCTCACAGATAAGCCTCAGCTGTATTTGTAAAGTTGTCCTTTAGTATCCTACCCAGCTGTCCAAAGTTGAAGCGAGTACCAGAGGGAGAGGTTAGGCTGGAGCCGGGGGAGAAGGGGGAATTGCTGGCAGAGTCCTGAAGCCCGCTGGTGGAATGGGAGCGCAGCCAATCACGATCCTCATGACCTCGCAGCTGCTGTGACGGACCGTACCTGCAGAGAATCAAGAAAATAGGTTACATGGAACCCAAGACACAACAGAGGAGAACACTTGCAATGATATGGGACCATGTTTTTATACAATATGGCTACTTTCACACTGCAGACCTTAATGCTCAATTCTATATATTTTTTTTTGTTAAATCCGATTATTTTGAATGGTTGTTTACAATTCAAAATATTTACAAACTGCATGTGATTTTCTGTGTGAGCTGCAATCATATAACTTGAGTGTCACACATGCACAGCAGGGGACACAATGACGTCACAAGCAAGCGTGTTCTGTGTTTACGAATGATAGTGCTGGAACGCATCTCACAATCTTTTATTTCTTTTCCTATACATTAGTACATTAACAATGCAATCTATTAAAGAGGGTCGAAAAGAAAGACTGCTCTCTGTATTATCCTCTGCCATGGTTGTTGTTTTTCTTCCTGCTTCTGCTTAGCATGCTGCAGAATAGTGACCTCTGTTGAGTATTAATTACATCCAGGTTGGATGAATGCGTCATGGCCGTTCATACACAGGTCGCATTTGAAATGATCAGATCTGTATTTGATTCAGGACCAAATAACCAAGTGGTCTGGGTCGCATTTGGAAAAATCAGATATGTTTTGTTCAGATTGTCATGAAAAGATAAGATACAGGTCGCATATGGGCAAAAACATCTGATTAGGATCACTTCAGGCTGCAGTAAGAATGTAGCTTAATTGAGCTGAACTTTGTTGAATTTTTTTTTGCTCAAGAAACAAAATTAAATCACCAGGATCTGACATGAAGATGAAACTGATGCTGCACCAAAATATTACAACAGCGTGAACTAGGACTGCATTTAGATTTAGGCAATGGAAAAAGCAGAACAGACAAAAAAAAAAAAAAACTGACCCCAATACAAAAAGGTCATGCCTGTTCCTGCACAAAACACTTATAGATCTGCACAGCGGGAAAACACTCAACACAACAGCACATGTGCCAAGTGCCAAACAAAATCTTGCATTTTAAAGCGTGAGCAGAAGCCTTAACGAGATGATGTGAAGACTGTGGGGGAAGGAAAAAAGGCAAACGAGGAAAACAAAGCAAATTCTGGTAAACCAGAGTGAAAGAGTGAAACGCGTCCAACGCAAACAAATGCGGTACCTGAATCCCTTCTTAGGCAGAGTGTTTCTACCACAATGTGGCCCTCTGTGGGAGAGAAACACTTCAGAAGAGGAACACAAATGGCTGAAAGAGGCAAAAAAACTTGCTAAATTATTATTTTTAACAATAGTTTCTATTCTGTATTCAATGTCCAATCTGGAAAGTCTGTTTCTGTTTTCTTGCAAAAATGATCATCTTTTCAAAGAACTTTGGGTTCTTTCTTTTTACATAAATAACAAGGGAAACACTTAAAAGTAAGTAATGCTTGTAATAAAAACAAATAAGCATACTGGCCTCTAGATCCTAAATATTGTGACAACATAAATGCAACACTGATGTAACACTTCCCTTAACCGCCAGGGGGCAGTGTTTGATAAGTTAAGAAACAACAATCTATATAACTTATAATTTTTACTCATCTGAAGAAGTCTTAAAAATAACCACAGACTACCACACAGGGCCACAAAGCTGCAAGGACAAACAAGGAGACTAGATTACAGACTCTAAACCTAGAAGATGGGGGCTCCCTGTGTGGCAGCAGGTGGTGGTTTAATGGGACCACCCACCTCAGCAAAGAGCCTAACACTTCACACAGGTAGATTTACCTGTCCTGCCTCCGAGGTAGCGTGTTTCTGCTGAATATAGGGCTAGCGGAGGGCGAGGAGAGGGGACTGATGAAAGACAGGAAAGAAAAAATAAAACGCACAACAGACACAAAAAAACAGCAAAGTTTTAGAGAGTGAGGTAGATGAGGAATGTCTCAGAACATAACTCAATAGCAAGGACTCTTCTGAGAGGGACGACAGTGATACCACAGCTTTAAGTCCAGTTGATATAATGTTTCCTTTGAGACATTCTCATCAGATTACACAAACTGTCAGAAAGGCATCGGCTACTGTATTAAAAAAGAAACCAAGGAAGACAAAAGATTTAACATTTCTACTTTGGCTGAACACTGAAAGGCAAACATGAGGAGACTTTACCATCATAGCTGCTTTATTGAAATCATCCTCATTTTAGGAATTTTAAGTAGGAAATCTTTAGAGTTGTTCAGGAATTTCTAAAGCTACACAACATGCATATTTCATGTCTTCTTTTCATTTGCCAATCATTAACATATAAGAATGTATCTCATGAATACCAAGAGCTTTAACCACAAAAGTATTCATGACACTTGAATTTTTATATTTTATTAAGAAACAGCCATAACTTTAAAGTATTTCATTAAGATGTTAGAGAAAATATTCACACAGCTGTGACATGAGGAGAGTTTTTTTTTTTAAAGAAATAATAATCCAAAAGTTTTGTTTGCATTTTGTAAAGCATACACCCCCGTCCCAAGTCTTTGGTTGCTTTATCAGTATTTTTTTCCAGGATTGTTCTTTATTTAAGTCAATCCATCAATAGGAAAACAATATAAAAACAACAACAATCAAAATCCTTAGACTGCAAGCACCAAGTCTTACCAGGGGAATAGTTATGCTGAGGTGCAGCATAAAGTATTGCTGCACACTATTTCGCCATAGGGTTCAATTCTGCTCCCACCTGACTGGAGCATCTATTTTCGCGTGTTAAAGGATCCTTTCATTGCTTGTGGCAAAAAACTACGATTGATCATTCCCATAATTCATGACTAATGTTCTCCTTGACCTAAATATTATTGTAGATGGAAAGCCATGTATTGATATGTTTATATTTTTGCCATCATCAAATTAACTTATATTGGGCTACGATTAATTAACTAGATCATTTCTAGAAACACTAGGTTGCATAGGTTGCTTATTTTGGGTTCCCTGAGTCCATATGCCTGAATACAAATATATGTGCTCAAACACTTCTGATTCTTTTTGGTTGATATTTCTAACTTTTAGTCGCAAAAAATGCCACCTAAAAAGAATACAGTTTCAAGGGATGTTAATAATTTTGTGTTTTTTAAAACATTAAGAACAGAAGTTCACATAATACATGGGTACTATAAGTCTGATCGATATATCTACTGATTTATATCTATAATATTAAAGTTTCTCTCAATGATGTCAGCTCTATTTAACTTTAATGTGCAGTAAAAAATGTTACCTCTGAAACAGAGCCTGTTTCTTCATTTCCAAATGAAAAGTACAATGGAGTTTGCTGTACAGGTTGAAAACATTTACCACTGTAATTAAACCGAACAATCTGTCACCAACATATGACTGTACCGATATGCCCATATGAGATCTTCCTTGTGTTTTGCAGAAGAAAATATTGCAGTTAATTCTTATTACCGTAAATTGTTTAGCTAGAGATAGTGTGGATAAAATAATATCAACCTGCTGATATTTTGTCACATTCGAGCTATGCAGCACATTATTTTCTCTTTGTAACTAAACATCAACTGAATCATATTCGGGTGTGCTTCTAAGGCATAGTAAAACAAACACAGTTACAAACTAATATGTGTCAAACCGAGACATAATATAACTTAGAAAATTATTTAATAAAAATTTTTCTGTGAAACTTCAAGAAAACATTCCAGATAGAAGATTAGAGAAGAAATCCATTTCCTGATTATTAGTCTTCTATAACTCTATATTTACGCCCTCACCTCTCTGACATGCCGGTCTTGACGCTCCCGGTCCGACCCAGAGCAGACAGTGTGTCCTCCCTGTGGGTCCCCTGTCCTCCGCCACCTCCTCCGGCACTGCTAAGACTCATGTCAATGGACTCACTGCTGGTGTGCATGCTGCTGACGGAGGGAAAGCCCACACTGCCTGCGCAACCATGTCCACCCAGAGTGCCCTCCCTGCTCGGGACAGAGGAGCCACTGAAGGTGGTTCCCCATGTCAAGCTGTTTGAGGGACCAGTGGAGGAATAAATTGATCCTGGGCTGGAGGCCTGGAAAATAAATTCAAGATGAGGTTTACCATTTTTATAGAAGCTCTCTCTGGTACAAAAATGACCTGGGATGCTAATATGAAAGAAGGCCTTCAATTATTATGCCAGCCAGTGGCTGTATTTGCAATATATGGTTTAAGTCCCAGAATAACCTCTTTGCTCCTTAGTCTTGTTTTCATTTTCTTTAAAAAAAACTATTGCTACGTTCTTAAGCATAAATGTTTATTTTTTAGTCCAAATTTCAGTGGCAGTATTGTCATATGGAGCGTCCACAGTTCCAGTCAATGTAAACTGAGGCTTAAATAATTGAATAAACTTTTGAACTGTCAATTGTTTGTTAAAACAGGCCTACTCTTTAGACAAACATCACCCCATGTGTCATCATATGACTCATAACTAGAAAGATCAAACTTATGAATCATGTGAGAGTGAATGGAGAGACAGTTTGAGCATGCTCAAACATATAAGTTTCTGAAACCATTAAGAATCTCCTGTTTGTCAAAGGGGAGTCTTCTTGGCTCATCCGTGCTCTACCTGAACCTGAGTTGTGTAAAGAAGTCAACGTGTTTGTGGTATTAGAAAGGTGTGAACAGAATAATCCTGGCATCCCTGACAAATTCCTCTAAGTAGCTCTTTAAACACACTCCCACATTTAACACTGTTAGAGTTTATTCTTGTACGAACAAAGGAAACAATAACGTCTAAACTTTTAGACCTCTGACTACTGTAGGTGGGCAGCTGTCTTTGAATGAAATGGCTGAGGTATTAAAGGTTCCAAGAAGTTTTGACTATGGATATTAACATAAGACTGAAATTGATACAATAGTAATTAAATTAAGAATTAATAAAGATAAAGATATCTGCCATCAGCAAGCATGACGTAACATTCTACCCAAGAAAAACACAAATTATTTATTCAATATTTTCAATCAATGAACAATTTACAAAGATATCTTAAAGTGGGAATTCATTAATTTTAAAGGATTTGCTCTGGTTGACCATAAGAGTGGCTCACCTGCTCGCTGCCCAGAGTCCCTGTTCCTGAACCCAGAGCTCTGCCTCCGCACAGGGGGCTACCTGACTCACTGTCCCCACCTCCCAGCACTCCATCAGGGGACTCTAGCACTGTAGGAACATGGTTCATGGTGGCATGGGGATTGGAGATGACGGTGGAATTCTTCAGGTTTTCAGCAGTGGTGACTGGGGCTTGTTTACTGGCCTTACCACCAAATAACCTAAAGATATAAAATAGATATAAAAGAAAACAAGAAGGTAAGTGTTGTTAAAGGATTGTGAGAAAACTAAGGTTAGAACGTAGAAACACTTAAAAAGGTTTGTTCTCAGTAAAAAACAAAGCAAATAAAAGAAAAACTCAACTTTTCTTAAATAAAGCAGTCAAAAACAAATGGGAGTATTTAGAAGACGTAGTAAACCTATTATTAACAATATTACAATTTTATGATAAACAGGGCATTTAATCACAGTATTTACAATTTATACTTTAAAAACTGTATTTAAACCCATTATAAGTAAAACTACATATTGATAGTGAACCAAACAATCCTTAAATTATACATCTGTCTACTTTTAAACCTAAAAGTATCGTTAAGCAGTTCAGATGCTAGATGTGACAGTGTGATCTACCATTAATAAGCTACAATGTCTGTGTTCTGTGCTTTAACTGGATACGTTTCAAGGCTTTCTTCATCCTGCTTAGCAGTCTTGAGAAGGGCCATGAGGGAGCAATGCCAGGAGAGGGAAAAGGTGCTTTGAGTTTCTAATTTTATCTAAAAAATAAGCTTTTTATAATCCTATAATGAGTAACAGAGGAAATGGTGCTTAAATCTGACAAAAGGCCAACATAGGAAAAGACCCACAACTCTCTCCTTGTTCCTGGGTTACAGTTAATCGGCGGGCCGTGATGATTGAAGCTGCAGTGGGGGATAACAGCATGAGGTTTTCTTTGAAGAGTTATCACTCCCTTACATTAATGAGGGCAGAGTGCTGAGGTAAGACTCAGCTTCCATTACAGAGCACCACACCCTCCTGTTACCCCCTCCAACCACACCACCAATGCGGAGGCTTGGCAGCTGATCAGCTCAGCTCAAGGCCTCAATTCACAATGCCCTCATTTAACCTCAGATACTGTGTGTGTGTGTAAAACAGGCCCACACGTGTGATCCCTTACTTCACCATGTACTGTGACTGCATGATTAAGTCTTTCTGTGAGTGTATCATGGGGGTGAAGTCAAGCCCATACAAGAGGGCTTAGAGTGGCTCATCGGTGAGCTGTCAGTGTGTCTGAGGAGGGGTGTGCATGTTCACCTTCGCAGTGTAGGTGAGGAAACCTGCTGTCTTCCCGTCACTGCTCCTCCTCCGCTCTGCATCCCACCTCCGCTTCTCAGGTTGTCGACATCAGAGACGCCCTTCTCCCGGTCTGTCTGATTGGCCAGCAGGCCCATTGAGCTGTTGGGCTTGCTAATGCTAAAAGAGTTCTTCCCGTGAGAGGTAACAGAGAGCACGGCTGCCTCGATGCTGCTAGTGGACGACCGATTGCCATTTCGGGCGGCTGCTCCCGAACGACTGGGTCTAGGCAGGCTGCGGTACTGCAGGGTTGAGCGGGCACTCATTGGGAGGAACCCGTCGTCATGGTGACTCAATGCTGAGCCTCCATCCGGGCCACCGGATTTTAAGCCACCTGACAAAGAGCGTGCCCCGGATTTAGGCATCTTCCCCAAAGTGGCTGACCCACTGGTGATGGTGGCACCGCTTGCTGTAACCATGGTTACCATGCCGGTACCTTGCTTCTTGAACCCGAAGGTGCTGGTGGGGGTGCGGGTTGACAGCATGTGCGTGTGGGATTGCGGGTCTGAGATGGTGTGAGTGAGAGGGTTCGAAGTCGTTGTGCGGCTGGTGGGAACCGAATGCTTTTTGGCCTCGTCGCCACTGCTGCGTCCTGCATCTGAGGGCGAGCGCTGGAGGCCATTAGAGCGAGGGGAGAGTCGTCCTTTCTCTGACACCTTTACATCATCAGTTTTTGCTGCAAGAAACATAGGGAGTTTCACAGAGTTGATGAAACGGACACAAGCATCTAGATATCATTACAGCAGCTCTCGTACTACCAAAACGTTTTCACATTTAATTACATTGCAACCACTAAGTGTCAGACACAGCACCCATAGGAGTGGCCAAGCAAGGACCAACATGCACTGAGGGGTGGCCAAAACGGAAAAAAAAAAAAAAAAACTGTTTAGGGTCAGTCTACACTAATCACAGATTACCAACAGGGAAATAAACAATCAAACATCCCTATTTACCAAAAGAATTCATCAAGACAGACTAGATATTCATTAAATCCTCGCTACTAAATCTATACACAGATTTATACATGTATGTTGTCTAAATTAGTCAGGGTTTTGCATAATTTATAAATTAAATTGGTTGAGCAGTGATTTTTCATGGCTAATTTTATAGAATACTAGTTTGTGACAGCAGAGACACAAAACATTCCCTTTTCCCCATAAAGCAGAAAACCTAGTTGTGAAAAGAGCTTAAATTCTGCTTATGTATTATTTAATATATTATTATTTATTATTTAATATACTTTGGTATGTTTATGTGAATATCTAAAAATAACTGTCATCCTGTGGTCTGAAAAACTGAATAATCAAGTTAGTTGGAACATTCCCCCTGAGAGTATCACTGCTGCCACCCTCTGTTTTGGAGGTGAACTGTTTGCTCTGGAGGTTCTTAAGTATGTTTCAATGGGAACAACAAATCGCCTGGTTGGGATAGCCACAGATTTACTATGGGTGGCCATGGCCACCCCTGCGCCCCCTTCTAGGTCCACCCCTGCACCTATGTAAAACGTTCAACATCAGAAGAAGCCAAGATCCCCCAACTCTGAAAGGAAATCTGGAAAAAAGGATAAATTGACAAAACTAATAACTATGCAATCTGAAATCAGACCTTTATGGAAGAGTAGTGAGAAATAAGCTGTTATTCCACATGGCTTGTGGAGTTTGCCAGAAGCCATGTGGAAAACAGTGCTCTGGTCAGATAAAAAGTAAATCTTTTTGGCTAATATACAAAACATTAGGTAGTGGCAAAAGACCTGTATGATAACATAACAGGAAACATGGGGGTTTACTGCAAACTGCATCAAATACCACAGATTAAAACTTGTCTACAATTTCAAAACAAAATGTATAATTTATCACCTTAAATCTTTCTATATGGAATGACTGATGTGTGTATTACCTGAGCTATGGTTTTTCAGGCTGGCTGAAGCTGTGGAGCCTGTGCTGCTGGTGCTTTTTGTCCGGGGTGACGTTACCCCCACCTGAGCGGTCATGCCTCGTCTCCAGGAACCAGTGTTGGACACAGAGGGCGTCTTTCTTCCTGAGCAGCCCTTGTCAGACTCATCAGAGACGTCACAGTTTCTTCGACTCCACTTGGAACCCGTGTCCATCCTGACCCCCGTATCTGGCCCCCCCTCGGGTCTCTTCCCCTCGTCTCCTGCCCAAACTTGGTGGACTGCTGTGGAGGCAGAGTGCTTCTCTGCATCCGTCACAGGCTGGAAACACACACACAGCAAATTTAGTCAAGAGGCTCTAAGACGTTCTCAGTTTAATACCTACAGCCACTGTAATGAATAATCTAACCAGCAGGATTTTAGAACGTCTGATCTCATCGGGCTTGAGTACTAAAAGTTCTGGTAATCTGAAATATGAGGACTACAATTTCATGTCAGGGCAAGACTGGAGTCAAGTCTGACAAAAAGCAGATCTTCAGATTATTGAATACTGATTACTGCACTGATAATAACCTTCTCAAGAAAAAAAGTAACCATTAAAGGCCAGCTAATACACTGTTGAAGGATTACAGTTTGCCATGAAAACTTTCCTTCTGAATTTGCATAAAGGAGTTAACCAAATACCCATTTACAGATTAGCTTAAAGCAGCTGGTGCTGCATCTTTCCAACTGTATAAACAAACAGATAAATAGCTGAAGGTGTTGCAATGGCTGCGCTGCAGTTGTCCTGGCAACACTTTTAAAAAGCTGGAAGCTGATCTGCTTTGAGATTTGAAAAAAACAGAGTCAATCCAATGTGGACTCGCCTGAGGACAGACAGAGCAGACTTGGTTACCTGCAGTCTATCATGCAGCTGCACTGAGAGAAAGACACTCTTTGTACTTTCATTTATTTTTCAATCACCATCATGACCTATGCTGTAATAATGAGGGGTCAGAATACACTGGATGGCTTCAGATCAGTCATCATAGACTGTGTACAATATAAACAAGAACCCGCTGACATTTTTATGACCCGATTACAAGCTGCAATAAATATCAAAGACTGACAAACAGGCTTAAAACATGTTTACATATATTTAAGAGAGTTTCCCCACCCCAAAGCAAACAAAAGACAAAGTATTGACTGACATGGCTTCTGAGTTCATCTTCAAGTTCTATTACAACTTACACAAGACTCAATCTTTAGACCAATTTATCTCTGTAATTTTTGACATTACTCCCATTCCCCCAAAATACACTACTTAGCAAGGCTTTAGGAATGTGTACAAAGCTGCCTGTTTACTGTTACGAAATTCAGCCAGTAACAGCAAATTCATTTTGAGCACTATCTGAATATTTTTCTGATGTCACTGATGTTTGGTCATTTTTGATTATAAGAGTTAATAATGTGGACCAATGAAAGCTGATAGAGTGCCACTCTGCTAGATACATATTTATAAGGGGCACAGAAAACACACTTTCATCTATCAATACAGTAATTTACTTCTTAATTCCTTATGTTGGAGAATTGCTCTACTTTTTTCAAGCTGTAGAACCAAAACTTAATTAAACTAATTATATACAAGTGTCCAATTAACACCTTTAAAACTTAAGCTTCAGTTATTTGAAACATTTAAAACAAATAATTAACCAGTTTGATTCTGTATTCATCTTATTTGCTGGCCTAAATAAGGGAACCATCCTATGCAGTTAGATTTGACTGTCGGATGCACAGAGGGACTTTTTGCATAAAATTGTGTTTTGTTTTTTTGGTTGACCTACCTGTGTGTTGAGGCCTTTGCGCTGTGCTGCAGGTGTGTTGGCATAGGAGGAGATGGAGGAACTGGTGTTGATGTCATCTGTGTCAATGTTGTCACTGATGCCACTGCTTACTGAGCTGCTGTCATCCCAGCTACAGGCAGATAGAGAAGAGGAATGAGACTCTCATTAGTCCATGCAAACAATATGCTTTGAGAAAAGATGGAAACTTTGGACAATGTGAATATTTATTGAGAACAATCATAAAACTGAAGAACAAAGAGAAAAAACAGAACATTATCCTGTTTATCATTGGCTTATTCAGCAGAAATAAATGAGTTTTGAAGATTTCAAATATTCTGTCACAATTTTAATTGATAGCTTTAGACACACACATAACAAGTATATCATTATTTTCAAATCATCAAGTTTGAATGTTTCTGAATTGATATAATTAAAAAAGTTTGACTTTCAATAAACAGGAAAAATAAAACAGTTAATTTAAACAAAGAAAAAACAGACATAAAAGGAGAATCTGGTGACTGCCTGCTGATTCTTCTTTTATTCTCTATTAAACTGATTTCAACTTGGATACACACACACACAGGCCCACAGACACGTCTGAATGGGGCTGTCTATCAACTGAACAAAGGCTCATTTGAGGGGTGACATCATGGTGTGCTTGTGTGTCTGAGCTTTTCAAATAGACCCATATGAACAGAGCAAATGTGCCAAGAGTTAAGGATATCTGTAAATATGTCTGTGTGTGCTGGTGCGTTTGTGTGTGTCTGTGCTTGTATCCGCTTGGGGTCTTTGGGGGACAGGAAGCCCAGCCGGTTGGCAAACATTGCTCTGAAAGGAGCAGAGGGAGGCTGATGAGGACAGCCAGTGCAGGGCTGGCTGCTCTAAAACATAAACAAACAGTACACTCTTTCTTGATAGATGAAAAACTGAATGTATTTCAAATTTCATTCAATGCCTTGCATAGAGCTTCCTTTTTAAACAACAGTCGTAAATTTATAGTTGTATTCCCATCCAGCTGATTCGAGTAGCCTAAACCATGTGCCTAAATTTTATAAAGTTAGGATGAATGAATGAATAACTTATAAAATGGAAAAAGAGCACACAGTATTATGAAAAGTCTAAACATCCTGTGTAAGATGAATTTTTCAGATCCAAACGGGCTTTAAATTAGTTACATTGTCACTTCGATGGCACTTTTTTTTTCTGAGGTAAAACACAAAAAGAAAAAAAAAATTATTTTCCTCTCTTTTTCACTGAATACATCAAAATGCTTTCTTTCAGTTTTAAATGCATGACATATGAATTTAAAGTTGTATACAATTTCAAGTTAAATCAGATTCCAAAAAGGTTGGGGATAGAAATACATTTTCTGATTCTTTCACAAAGGTTGTCTACTAATCATTATTTAGCAATATGTGTCAAACCACGATCATAAACAACTTGCATGCAACATCTGGTAGCGTATTGTGTTAACTTTGCAATGTATTTCTACTTTGCTTATCAATAAGGTATTTGTCTTCTTGGATTGACCCTTACTGTTCTTTATGTTCCCATCTGACACAGATCTTGCTGACCAAGATCCAGAAGCAGATAGGAGTAACATTTCCTGAAATAGTCGATTCTTTAAATGTATTACCTCAACCATTCTTTTCTGCTATTCAAAATGTTATCTAATCATTTAAGAATAAATAAGCTTGCAAAGATGTGTTGATATAATTCCCTATTCTCCCACCCTGCAGAATCTGTTAGTTTAATCTCTAACGTTCTGCTCTCTCTGCTTTTTCTCATAGTAGCTTATCCTTGTCTGTTCCTGTTTGGCTGCGACACCATCCTGGAGAGGAATATCAGCTGTGCTGCTGCCATCAACACCTTTGTTTATAGATGTTCGAGATCGGCCTGTTTTTCAGTGTGGTCCTGTTTCTCTGGCTGGGGGTAGCTGGATGTGCTCTCTTTGTCCTCTGGTGTGGTGGTTGGCTCTGGGCTCGTTTGCCTGCCTGTGTGTTTCCTGGACTGGGCCGCCTTTTACAGTTGCTTTTTGTATCTCTGCTTCTGTTTCCTTTAACCCTAGTCGGCCTCGGCAGATGGCCGCTCACACATAGCCTGGTTCTGCTGGAGGTTTCCTCCTGTAAAAAGGGAGTTTTTCCTCTCCACTGTCGCTACAAGCATGCTTAATGTGAGGGATTGTATTTGAGTCAATGAGTCAATGCAATCAACTGGTTTTCCTTAGATAGAAAACTTTGAATCAATTTGACGGAGGCATCTCTACAAAAAAAAAAAAGCTACATAAATAACTGGAAGGAGCCAAATAAACATAACAGGCATTTAAAAAGCAGGGTTAAATATCACCAATGGTGTGAAACAGCAATGAAACTTCAAAGATTATTTAGAAAATCTCCTAAACAATTTTGTCAATGTAGGACCATTATGAATCTAATTTTAACTGGTAATGATTATTGTCATTAATTGTTTGTATTTTAGGAGAGATGTTTGAGTTTTATGCAAATCCCAATATAGTCACTATGTGTTAATTTTTTGTTATAAAAGGTGTGGTAATAAGCTTGCAATTTGGGAACAAACGGGTTTTGGTGTCAAATAGTTCTTTGCATGTATAGCTGATGGTTCAGGGTGACGTCTTTAGTCAGTGTCTGGGTGTCAGATAGGACTGTAGACCTGCTGATATCTTGAGTAACAAACCAACCAAGTATTAAGGAAGCATAATTGGGCTGCATTATTTTATATGACGACAAAATCGTTGATAAGGCAATGCCCTGTTCAATCCTATATATTCATTATTTGTGCCCTTTTTAATTTTTTTTTTTATAAATTTCAGAGAAATTTGAAAAGCATGAGACCAGGAGTGTAAAATGAGTTATGTTGGCTTGAAGTGCTCACTGACTTTATTGCTCAGTACTCCCATACTAATATCCTCTTGTTTTGAATCAACCATCCCTCTGGTTCCACCTATGTACAAAGGTAAAACATACACTGCTTTGGTATATACAAAACCAAAGCAGTGTTGCTCAGTAGTCAACTTGCACGCCCAGAATTTTCCCACCAAGGAGCAAGCTCACATTGTAATTATGGCTTCAAACAAAGAAACTAAACAAAAACAGACATTTTCAATGGCAAAATTCCCAGTTTCAGAAAACCACCAAAACCTAATCAGCTGGTTGGTTCCTGACAAACATCAGACCAAACACATCTCATGCTTTGAGAGATGACCCGACTTCCTCCTGGATGCACCAGAGGAATAAGTCAAACTTAGATTAAAACAGACAGAAAAGAGCTGAAGGATGAAGGGAAACAGAGCAACCTGAACTGGTTCAACTCATCCTCAGAGCCACAGGGGGGTGTCCCACACACAAAGAAAATAAATATCAACAGCTTAGTATTAGAATAAGAGTTTTCTAGGGTGATTCAATATTTCAAACTAAACAAAAAAAAAAAATCCAAAGATCAGTTGGGAAATGAAAGAAACCACAAAATGTATTTTCTTTTGGCTACTTGCACAATTACACTCATTGTACCTACCCATTCAGGATGCCTGTGTTGCTGTGGGAACCAGGTCGCGGAGCGTAAATGCCAAGATGTACAGAGAGCTTCATGGCTCCATGCTGCTGAAAGGCTTCACTGGAATAAATCTCTCCTCCCAGTCTCTCTCACTCTAAACTCCCCCAGTGTCTCTCGCTCCCTCTCTCGTCCCTGACGGAGATCCCTGATCAGGCTTCTTTGTCAGTTGCTGCACCAGTACTTCATCCCCCGGGCACTGTTTGTATCTGTCTACACTGAACACCACACTGAAAGGAGCAGAGCTGAGGACCTGCCCTGCTGCTGGTAACCTGAGCCTCTCTGGAGACTGTTAACCACTTCCCTGCTGCAGCAGCACTATTAATGCTGCTCAGTGAAACTTACACAAACACACCCTGAGCCCTAAATAAGCCACTTGAGCCTAAGAAGTATCAAACAGGCTGCACAAGTCAAAGCCACACGATCGCGGACAGATTGAGACAAAATGACAATCCTCATCCCCCACATGCTCTGCTGTGTGCTTCCCAGCTCTGGTTTATGTAGACTGGGTGTCTGTGTGTGCAAGACTGCAATTTCCCAGACAGATCCACCCTGAACAACTGACAGGCCAGCGCTAATTAGAGATCAGGCCAAACAGCAGGGCCCAGCCCTCAGCCTCTTGCTGGCAAAGCAACCCGCCTGTTACCAACCGCGGAGCTCTTTACGACCAATCACAGGAGATGGAGAGATTAACCACAGGTTGCCCCGAGAGAGTAGCGCTGCCAAGCGCAAAAAGTGGAGTTCAATATCTAATGGATCATAACCAAAGGGTCAGTCATATAAAGGCTTCTGGGTTGTTGAAAGGTTGGACTTGAGAAAAAACTGACTCTTAATTTTTATTTTAAGTATTTTAAGTAACAAGTAAATTTCTTCACTGTGAGATCAATAAAGTCAATCAATCAATCATAAGAATCTTCCTCGGATTATTGTTATTAATAATATTGACATAAAGAGTTTGAAGGCAAAGTGTAGTTGCCTTTTAGAGCTAAATAAAGTGAGAACTGCACTTAATCTCTATATAATCTACTTTTTCCATTGGTGTTTTACAATTTTGCTGTTTAGTAATACCTACAATTGGCATATCACATGGCAGCAGCTCAATGAGGTCATACATCCAGGTGTAGTGAAGAGAAACTTGCTGAAGTTTATAGTGGTATGCCAAGGGTGGGAAAAGAACCACATGATGATTTTTATTTCTGTGATTGTTGAGGACTTGTTTTAGTTTAATTTGTAAAGTTACATTGAATGATAAAAGTGTTTGTCAATAAAACTATAATTATTACTACAGATCAGCTAAACTGGAGGGTAAAAAAGTTGGATTCATTGCGCATCCCTGACAAGGTGTCCATTATTCATCAGAATGAAAGAAGCCTTTACTATATCATTTACTAAACAGGCTAAAAGGCTCACAGATCAGTCTGAAAACGGACAGTAACAAAGACAGAAATATGTCCCAAATCAAGACCTTCCAAACTGGAACCTGAACTCTTTCCGGGTCTCATTAGATTAGGTTTTCTGCTCTCCCAAGGGGATCAGGCTTCAGGGGCCAAATTTCCTTAAAGA